GCAACCAAGACTGGAAATCCTGACAACCATCGCACAAACCTCTTAAAACAAACTGTGGTTGTAATTCATTTTTGTAAAATAATAATGCGGCAATACGCAGTTGAAGGGATACGGAGGAGTTGAAACTCTGGCGTTTTGAAGGTTCAGCCAGTGTAGATCTGTGAGGACCGTGTTAAGTAACATGGCAGTCTACGTAGAAAAGTAACATTTAAATTAGTGCAAATCAAGGCCTGGAGAGCTGAATTTTCACAAGCTTGTTTTTTTTTTCTTAATTTAAATAACGTGATATTTATTTGATATGCTGCACTCAGGCCATATTCCAATTTTTTCTCCAAAATTAGTACGAGCATTGGTTGAAGGTGAATCTAAATATGCCTCAATTGCATGAACAATTTGATTTTACATGTTGACAATGATGCGCTCACACGTGTTCTAAAGCATGTGATTAAGTAAAGCACAAAGCTTATTATTTAATAGCGGAGCCTTTTTTTTTGTAAGAACCCCGTGTGACCTTCCTGGCTCTCCTTGTGGTGATAAACCTTCTTTTGGTTGGACGGGGGCAAGGCTCAAGTTTCCTAATCGCTGTGGTTTTGACCTCACTGTTTATAGTCCACAACAAGTGTTTTAAAGTCTTTCTACTCACGGTTGCCTTTCCTCATGAATGAGAGGGGTGGGGGGGTTGATGTTTTTTCACGCAATTCTTCACAGCGCTTTGAAACATTATTCATCCGCTTTTATTCACGCACTTATTATTTCTCAAATCGCACGACCGCGATCTGGCATTTAATTTGCCCTGCGCCGCCGCGGCCGTGGGTCCTGTTTGTTTTAAAAATTTCAAAAACTGTAAATAAACCAAAAAAGAAGTTGCGTGGAAGTTCAATTTCGGCAAAAAAATATTAGCATTTCCAAGAACACCGTCAGGCACCGATGGTGCGTGCCGCACGCCCGGCTCGCAGCCTTGTTCGTTTGCTTTAAGCCGCGTTTTTTATGTGAACTACACCGAAAAAAATAATACAATAACATTTCCTGCTGTGACTTACATCTGATATGTCATGCTTCATGGTAGAACAAAGCCAAGGGTCCGTTTTTTCTACCCAACTCTCTCTCCTCTTGTATTTACATTTCTTCCGGTAATACATCATTTGTTAGCATAAAAAAAAGGAAGGTGCTGGACAGATGCCAGACGGCAAGCCCAAAGTTTGTGTAAATTCTGAGAGACCACTCACGTGGGCCGCGACACGGCAGACGAACACGAAGAGGCTTTATTAAATAATGTAATCTGTGCGTGCAAAAAAAAAGCCAAAAGGAGCAAAAGAAAAATACGAAGGAAGTAAAAAAAAAATGCCCTATCCTTGGCAGCCAAAAAGCGCGGGGGGTGGTGGGAAGGGGGCGGGGGGGGGGGGGCAGACATAATTCTCCGGCACTTCCTGGGATTTACTCATTATAAAACAAATTGCTTGCAGCTGAGAGTGCTGCCCAGGCTGGGCTTCCCTTGGCGCGGTCCCCTCAGCCGGCCGCGTGCACACAGGCGATGGTTATCGCGGTGCGTGTCGCCCATTAGGCCACGCGGCGTGAGTGAGTAATCCCCACCACCACCACCACTACTGCCCGCTGCGACAGCGGAGGTGCCGTGGCCCGCGCAGCCGGCTTCAGGGCCGACGGGAGCGCGGGTTTGTTTCGTCGGCCGCGCTCGGGAGTAGGAAGCCGGCGAGCTGCCAAATTTGGATGGAAAGTACCCGGTGTTTAAAGAGAGGCAACCTCTCGGCTGCAGCACTGGCTAATGTGAACGGTTTTTTTTTTTTTATTTGGCGATTTAAAATTGGCTGTGGTTTTGCATGTTAATTGTTGAAATGAGGATGAAAGTGAAATTGTAGTTGGGCTTGTTTTTTTTTTCACGGTGATAGGATATTGAAGTGCATGAAAGAGAAGCTGAAATTGTTTGCAGATGTCTGCCGCGTCCTGAGGGCATTAAATCTTCATTATCAGTTGCGTGAGCAGCATTCGCAGACAGCGCGTGCGATGTCCGAGAATTATTATTATTTATGAAGGGGCGGCAGGGAAAAAAACACGCACACATGGCAAAGGGCTACCTTACGGGTCACCTCATTCAACACGAGTGCAGATCTCCTCAGTCGGAATGTCCTTGGGAACGTGGCCCGCCGGAACGGGAGGACACTCTCGCTTCGCGATCTGCTGCCCCGCATGTCGGCGTGCACCACCACAGAGAGAGAGAGGGAGGAGGGCTCGCGGTTTATTTTCTAATCATTAGAGCGGGGCGGCAATCAGCTTGCGAGATGCAACAAAAAGCGTTGACCGGGACACATGATCTCGGAACTCGAAAGGGGCAAAATTGCTTCCATGCCGGGTGCGCCCCCCCGCCCCCCCCGCCGGCTCTGGACAACCCTGAGAACCTCTCGGCACGCCGCCTCCATGGCTCCGCACCGATTGAAGCGCTGTTTTGGTGCGAACGTCCCCCGCCGCTGTAATTGCTCTGGAGAAGCGAGTGTTGTTTTGCTCGCGCAGAGCCGAGATTCGGAATTTTTGAAAAAAGCCAAAGAGAGGAGATTGATAAACAACGTTGATCGATGTTGGCTGATGTGATGACTTTCGCTGCCAATTAATCGTGGAGTTTTTTTTTTTACATTGCTGATAAATAGCACCGCATTGATAATAAATATACACGCGCGTACGTTACGGTATATTTTTAAAGCCATTAAATTGATTAAACTTTTATGTAACACTAACATCAAATATCATGTCAGAGATTTAGTCAGTAAAAACAAAATCCAATGTAATGCATCAAATTGTGAAATGTAATGCGCCTGTTTAGAGTTCAGTCTCAGTGCCATGAATCACAGAAAGCAGTCTGAACGACTTGACGGGCAATCTTTTGGTTAAAATTAAGACACTACCCGTGTGGGTTATCACAGTTGTGGCGTACGACTGTACGCCGTGTTCTCGGCTTGTACCCGGCGTGTCCTTCGGCATGATGTCCGACGTTTCGCTCCACGTGCTGGGAGCATCTTCTGAAGCACGTGCGGCGACACATGGTGTGGCAAATTGGCCCGATGCTGCGCCAAACAACACGCCGGTGACGACCCGAGAAAGTCGGAGCGCTAAAAAAAAAAAGGAAAGAATTAAAGAAAGGCAAAAGGACCTGCTTGCAATTTAAATTCAGGAGCACTGTTTGTATAAAAAAAAGTGGTAAAAAAAAGGGCTGCCATAATTGCCTCTGAACTCTTACAGATGTTGTCGCGCGTTCCTCCTTTCTCGCCGCGCTGCCAGCACAGCGCTGTTTGTTTGCACACTGAGTTCACTTTTCCACGACTGGGAAGTCAGCCGAGAGGGTGGCCTGGGAGAGAGAAAGAGCGGGGGGGGGTGGGGGGGGAGATTTTTGCGCTCGTGAAGAGTTGCACGCCGTTTCTTTTAGGATTACAAACTTAGCGCCGTTGCTACGCGTCACTGTCATCACCCTGTGGCCCCCGTGTGGACTTTTTGGGCTTATGAGCGAGTGCAAAAAAAACCCGCGCCACAATTCTTTCCCGCTTTGATCGGTCAAGCTTTCTCACAGCCCATTGGGTCTTGCGCCGTTCTGTTTTAGCCGCAAATTACTTTGAAATGTCATTGGCGTTAAGTTATGAAATTTGCATGGAGGTTAACGCACATCTTCAATGAAGTGGTTTCTAGGACTCCATAAGTCAAGTTGACCAATATTCTCATGCCGTAAAGTTTTGAATCGGTGTCTCGGCTGCTATTTTGCAGAAATATTGTTTTTGTTTTCTTTTGTTTTGAGTGTGATGATGCCACATTGCTCGGTAGCGGTCTCCTTGTTATGACAGCCCCTTCCGTGCACAAATACTGACACTTGTGATTGACTAATGATGATTATGAACTCAGGCCACGTACAAAGTAAATGCTAGGCATGTAACAATGCTTAGTTTTATGAACTGAAATGTATTCTTACACTCACAATCGTTACATCACATGGTTTGTGTAAGAATATAGAATTTAAACCGTATACAAGCAGTATATATTAGATTTATCCTAATTGAGTGAACAGAACTGTGCAGACGAGATAGAAAAAAGTGAGAAACGATACAAAACAGTAAAAATAAGACAAAGAATGGCTTCTCAACCTGTATTACGATCGCAAATCATGACAATTTATCAAATTGCTTGGCATTGGAGTGGAGCAAACGAAATGATACAAACCTGGAAAGATAACAAAGTGTGCAGATGAGATGGCGTCAAGAAGGGAAATAAGAATGAACTCTTGCATCGAATCGTCACCACAAACTGTGTTGGTTCGACAGACCGCGATTAGGATGAATCGCTACAAGCCTCGTTAATTCATGGCGACTTCGTCTTGAAAGAAGCACAGGTGTTTGCGATGACAGAGTGAGTGACCTGCATTTGTGGTGAGAGAGAGTGACCTGCGTTTGCGATAACAGTGAGTGACCTGTGTTTGCGGTGATGGTGAGTGACCTGCGTTTGCGGTGATGGTGAGTGACCTGCGTTTGCGATGACAGTGAGAGTGACCTGCGTTTGCGGTGAGAGAGTGAGTGACCTGCGTTTGCGATGACAGTGAGTGACCTGCGTTTGCGGTGATGGTGAGTGACCTGCGTTTGCGATGACAGTGAGAGTGACCTGCGTTTGCGGTGACAGTGAGTGACCTGCGTTTGCGATGACAGTGAGTGACCTGCGTTTGCGGTGATGGTGAGTGAGTGACCTGCGTTTGCGGTGATGGTGAGTGACCTGCGTTTGCGGTGACAGAGTGAGTGACCTGCGTTTGCGGTGATGGTGAGTGACCTGCGTTTGCGGTGATGGTGAGTGACCTGCGTTTGCGGTGAGAGAGTGAGTGACCTGCGTTTGCGATGACAGTGAGTGACCTGCGTTTGCGGTGATGGTGAGTGACCTGCGTTTGCGGTGAGAGAGTGAGTGACCTGCGTTTGCGGTGACAGAGTGAGTCACTCGGCCGCCCTGCTCTGCGTGTCTTCCAGGAAACATGCGCAGCCCCCGCGCCATCCTGACGGGCCACGACACGGAGGTGACGAGCGTCGCCGTGAGCACCGAGCTCGGCCTCGCCATCAGCGGCTCCATCGGTAACCTGTCTCTGCCCCGCTCACGCCACAGCACTGCGACGATGATAATAACAATGACGACGATGACAGTGATGACGATGGATGTCTTCGTCCTCTGCCGTGTCGTGAGCAGGGAGCCCCTGCCTCATGCACACCCTTGCGGGCGAGCTGCTGCGTGCGCTGGAGGGAGCGGGCGCCACGGCGACGCCGCTCCTGCTCGCCATCTCCCAGGACGCGCTCTGCTTCGGTTACTACGACGACGGGACGCTGCTCAGCTTCAGCGTCAACGGGCGACTCTCCGCGCGAACGCCGACCGGCGACACCACACGGGTGAGCGTTGCCCGGTTCCGGCCTCGAAACGTGCACGCATCATTGCTCACTATGCAGGGCACTGTGGGTCCGTATAGTGTCTCGTTGCAACTGCATCTAAAGACTGTACAGATAGTGGGAATATTTATTTTATATGGAGGCAGCCATACGAGTCTATTGGTCTCTGTGTGAGTACTGTATTTGGGTCTTGTGTGCGAGTCTGTGGGTCCCGTTAATGTTGCAACACAATGTGAGATTAATACGCAATGCAATCTGGGTTCCGATGGCATCGAAATGCCGCTTCCGTCTCAATACGACGCGTCGGACCCGAACGCTTGATCTCTATGCCCAGGCCATGGTGCTGAGCGCGGATGGGCAGTACGTGCTGACCGGGGGGGACAAGGGAGTGGTGGAGGTGTGGCGTGCCTACGACCTCGCCAAACTCTACACCTACCCCATGTGCGACTCGTCCGTCAGGGCCCTTGGCCTGTCCTATGACCAGAGGTGGGTGACGCTCGAGTCCAGATCTCAACAACCACAACAGGGCAGCTCTCTCTGTGTGCGCCGATTTCAATTGCAATTTAATGGTTGTCAAAATCAACGACTTTTTTTTCCCCCATGTTAACAGCCTTTCCTTTGCCACGTGTTTTTGTGCCTTTAGGTTTCTTACCCGAGGATGATTTTACTAAACCTGCTTTCACAATTCACATTCAGTGAATTTCTAGCGTTGCCAAGATACGGTGTAGTTGGTAGAGCAGTAGGGGTCTCCTAATCCTGAAATCTTACATCCACTCACCCCATTACCATCACCTCTCCAGAGTGCGCAAAACAAGCACCGCATGGTAAAGCTACGGCGCTAAGTTAAAATCGGCAGTGTTCGTCACATCTAGATTATTCATCGAAGTGTGGAAATGTGTATTTCCATCTCTGGCTTTTATTTCACATGTATAACCATATTGCACGGAATGCGCTCGATCGTGGAAACCAGGCAGAGTTGAGCCTGGGTGGTTGGTGCTTGGTTGTGTGACTACCATGCATAACAGGCGTTATGGATCCCGGGGCCAGGTTGGGGAGGGTGGGGGTAACAGATGGCAGTACATACAAATCCGTTATTGTACTTCTATGCTTCCTTCATCAAACCCCCACATTGACCATCGTGGTGAAGTATATTCGAATGAGCCCCACAACCTGCATGGCATGAGAAGGCCCTCATCCACCTGTGGATTGACAAGAGGCTGTTCATGTACATAGAGATGTGCACTTTCAGGAAAACATCACGTGACCTCACAGACGATTGCCAGTGACACGGCCCGAGGGAGAGATGTGGCAACTTTATGTTTTATGTGGGTGTGCGCGTGTGTAATCGACGGGTGCTTACGCACTTTGGACGTGTGTTGCAGGGTTGTGATTGCGGGCATGGCGACGGGAAGCATCGTTCTCTTCCACATCAACTTCAACCACTGGCACTGCGAGTACCAGGAGCGCTACTCCGCGCCCTAGCGAGCCCCGCGCCCCAGCCGCCCCCACCCCCCCACGGCTGAGATGGCACCACCAAAACCACCCCTTCCCTTCCCTTCCCATGCCTGCTGGTGCGTTGCCAGTCGGCTCATCCCCGTCTCTCCCTACCGCCGGGGACTGGGCACGAGGCTCATGTCACACGTCTTGACGAAACGTTTATTCTTGGAATCAATCGGCGGATCGATCGGGTTAATTGGTGTTTGGTTAGCGGCACGCCCCCGGCCGCGACTGCTTGAGTGGGCAGTGGCGTCAATGCGTGGCGGTGATTTGGAAAGTGGAACTCCGCGGGGGCTTGGCGGTGGCCTCGGTACGAGAGCGGACGTAAACATTTCACAGCGAGCGCTTCGGGTTTACACGAGAAGTGCAATGTGGGTCCTGCACAACACCGTCTCGCTTTCATTTCGTTCTCTCAATTGTCGTCGCGTCCTCGTGCTGCATCATGCTACTGAACTGGTGCTCTTGTATCCCGCTCGAGCTTTTGCCCGTGGCCCCGGTGTTTTGCTCGTCCGTAAATCGCTCGCTCGAAATAATCAAACGGCGCAGACGGGCGGCATTCGCGATGACGGGTCGCATCAGCCGGTGATCGCCGGTCGTTTCTGTGCATGATCACCGGCTGGACCAGACTCGCCTCGTGAGGCTCAATGCAGTAAACGAAGCTGCCTTCGTCTCTTCGCCTGCGCTCTTTGCGGCGTCCCGGGCCCTTGGGGACTGGGATGCAGGTGGCGTTCTCTTTAATTGAGGCACCATCGATGTAGTCGTCTGTGGCCTATTATAATCATGCAAGTGTGATTCTTTACCCGAGTCATTGGGAGCAACAGAAGTTTGAGGATGCAAATAAAATCAAGATGTTTCATGCAACCTGCCAGTGATGTGTAGAGCGTAACCTCAGTTTGGATAAATGTGTTTCTTCGTCTTAATTAGCGGTGAAATCGTACCACGTAAATATTTATGCTAGAATATTTAATTTCTTTCAGGGTAGGGTGGTTGGGGGCAGTTATTTCTTAATTGATTGTTGAATTAAATAGGTTTAAAAACACATCAATGAAGTAGAAACTGTTGGAAATCGTTCTCGCCTAATCTCCTGCACATCGCCAAGATCCATTCCGTCATCGTCAGGTGTGGTGGTGCCCTCACCTGTAGCTCACCGACAACCCCAGCGGCCTGGGAGGCGGGGCATTTATGGAGAGATCATGCGCACCACACTTCTATCTGCAGGGCAGAGATGATTGTACCGCCTGCGGACCGATCTGTGCCGAGTTGGAGCATCATCCCGTGATTGTGTGTTTGGGGTTTTTCTCCAGACCCCTCCGGTTTCCTCTTTTTATCAAAAAAAAAATGCTAAAGGAATTGAGAGGCCACAACTCTCAAGCAGCACCCTCACGAAAAACCATTGTTGAGACTCGGTGAAGCTATCTTCGATACATTTAAATAGAATAATATTCACGTGTAATACACCACCAGTACCTATCTGTTCACATGGGTGGATACACAGTTTCTGTTTTTTAGATTGTTTGTACTTAAGATGGAAATGTAATCGAATAACTGATGTCTCTTACCAACCATGTAGAGTCAATGTACAGCCTTGCCACGCTGTCACACCATCGTGTTACTGTAGTTCCGACGGTTACATGAGTTTAATGCGACATTCCGAAAGCATGTCCTGTGTTTGACAATCGCTTAAAACTTGATAAGGAGGTCTCTTGGACATGTCGGTCTTCTCCACTTGGGATGCACTTCTTACAAAAAACACTTTCCCGACGAACATTCGATACCGCAACTAACAATCATGCTTAGGCCTCGTCTCCCCAAGAAAATACGCAAATGCATCCCATGGGAAAAAAATGCCTCTACTTTTGCCGTGACACAGTCGCCCACCCGGAGCCGATGTTTCGGATGGTACGATGTACCCGGTGGTACCGGGTTCCCGTTTAACCTCCCCCTTCCGCGCACCCCCCCCCCCCTCCGCGTGTGAGTACAGCATTAACTTACATAGCTGAATTCAGAACGGCAGGGCCACCCTGCTCATTATTACCCTGGGCTTGCATTTTTTCTTCTTAAATTTTTTCAATGGCAGCATATTAAATAAGGTGCGCCTTGTCTTCACTTTCACTCTTTTGCTTAGTCGTGTGGTTTTGTGCCTTTCCACCCCCCCCCCCTCCCCCCGGCTTTTTAAGTGTACCGTGTAAGAGCGTGCCTTGCAAAAAAAATGTTAAGTATAAAAAAAATCTAAAAATATAGTGCTACGTAAAAAAAATGGTTGACGTTTTTCTAACTCGTAACCTCAAGACTGGAGTACAAAGGGATTCTTGTTGGCCATGTCTGCCACCGCTGCTGGAGTTGGTTATCTATGCATAAGCCAGCACTGAGCTGCCTGCTGGGGGTTTAACGTGTGGCCTCAACTTTGCACGCTCAGGCATATCAGAACTCGCGATTATTCGTTGTTGGAAGGTGAATCTGTAACAACTAATCGAGTGACGACCTCTGCAACGTTTGGTATCATTCAAGAAACATTTCTCAACGAGATTCTCGTTAAAACGACGAAAATTCGAAATTCCCTGCACTGATAATGGCTTCATTACCTGTATCAAGCAAGGTGGTACATGCACACATGCAACACATGTGCACACACACGCACACAGACATGTGCGTGCATGTGGGGGTTAAGTGAGCATTGTGCTGTTGGCATTGAAATCCCCCCCCCCTCTCTCTCTGCGTCCCATCATTTAGCAAGTGCTGCTAAGGGACGAGTTGGGGAGCTTATAAAATATTGACTGTGGCTCTCTACCTGCGAGCAGCTTTGCAGGCTCGCTGCGCTGACAAACTCACGGTCTCACACGTTTTGTTTCCTGGTGTTCCAACACCGAAGCCCTTCGCAGCGCCGAGCCAAACTCTCCTCATGCAACCGTGCTCTAGAATCAGTTCGACAGAGCCTCCGAGGCAGTTTGTGATTTCATCTTTAGTGGACCCTCCACGACAGGGCCCTCGTGTCACCCGGTTGCAGTGCGTCGCTTCCCCTGGCGCTACGGAACCGTTTTAATTAGCGGAAGACGCTGCGGAGAAACGGCGGGCCAATTTGCGCAAGTGTGGCATGACACCTCCTTGACGATTGTCGCTGAGAGTAAAATTAGCGATGCCCGTATTCCGCTTCTTGGCGGTCGGTTTGAGCAGAGGGGAGCGGAGGGATTCATGGAGTCAAAACTGGCAAAAAGGGTCACGTGCATCTGTGCATTGTTTTCATGAGCAGCGTGATTTGTGCACCAGTGGTGCCTATTAAAACAGATGACAGAGCCAGGGCAAATTCATCTCGCCCACGGCGTTAGGATCAAAATGCGTCTTCCATCGCCGGAAAGACGCGAGCCCTCGTCGCGAATGCTTTCTGCTCCACACGTGGTCGGCCACACCACGTGAATCTAAATCGAGGCAACTGAATGTACACACTTGTACAATTATACATCTAAATTCTGAACTCAATTGGCCACGCCCGTGCGCAGGTGACAACATAAATGCAGACTGCACGGGATGCCCACCTTGCCGTGCATCCAATTGCCTATTCCCATGGATCATTCAGATCTAGCACAAAGGCAAACTTGACTGCTGAAACACCCTTTTTCCACTGGAATATTTGAGTCATGCCAGCAAAGCACAGGTGCTTTTCCACTGAATTTTAGCCGAGCCTAACCAGAGGCAGAATCTTACCATGCTACGTTGACTTTGCCAGATATATAATTTTGGCTCATAGCCAAGCCGGGGACACGGGTCGGGTTAATTGGTTCATTCATTGCAACGTGTCGTCAGCGGCACGGATCAGATTCTGCAGTGGAAAAACAACCTTGTGCCTCTTCGGCCACGCTGGATTGACTCTGCGTGGTGCAACACCGGCGTGGCTCGGATGTACAGTGGAATAGAGGTAATGGAGGTGGCTGTTGATGGGAGGAGAACACTGCTGCACGAGTCGGTTGCAAGAGGAGGTCCGCCGAGCGCTGTCGAGGTCCCAACTCCCACGATGCCTTAACGCTGCCCGGGTCGTCCCCCGCGCAAGTTCGTGCTGTTGTAAACGGTGCGTCACTCGAATCGTAGCGTGATGCTCGGGAGTTTGTGCCTTCTCCGAATCTCCATGTACCGTTGCGTGTTTTTGTACGGTGGGTGCATGTCTTTTAGGTGTACATATTTTTTTTGTTGCCTCCGCTAATTCTGAGCGCGTGCTGTGAGTTTCCGTCGTTGGCTGTTGGTGGTCTTTGTTGTAGTGGCGTTGAATTCCAAATAAAAAAAATATATATCTTTGAAGGGTTATTTTGTGCTGTGGTATCCATTCTCATTACTAACCCGCACTGATCAATGTGGTGAACTGTGACTGGCGTTGTGAACTTTGGCAAATCCCATGACCAATAGATCAAGAGCACGGCGGGAAGGGCTTTAAATGATAAAGTTAATGTTCTTGTTTTGTGCTGCTGATTTTTTTTATCTGATGGTATTTTTCTTTGCTTCACATTTCACCTCCCATGACCGACACGGCTTGGGGGGGCCTTCATCAGCAGTGGATTGACAACAGGTAATACAATTAGGCTAAAACTCTTTTTCCAGAATTGCCCTTTGTACCCATACAAGCAACTTTTTTTCTCAAGCACACAAATGTGGCATTTGTGCTAAAACACAAAATATGGAAATGATGTTCCAATTTGTGGCCCACAATACTCTCGGTTCTTTCTCGTTCTTGCCTCTTTAGTCTATCTCCCCGGTTACTCCTCCGTTACATGCATGGCGCTCTGAGATCCATTGCTTAAGGGCGCCTTTTAAATCTAGGTTATTATCAGTGGCCGTCTTTAGCAGGAATCAAACCGGTGACTTTTCATCCGGCTCGGTGGTGAGCAGATTTAGTGGTTTGGCCTCCCTCTGCTGTTGCTTCTGCCCCCCCCCCCCCACCAGGTCATCACGAGGCTGTTCTATTGGTTGCAGTGGTCACGCGAACCGATTGCTTATGATGTATATCAATTTCAAATGTATTCTTCCGCGTACAATTCGATGTTTTATCTGGGAAGCCACCGATTAAACCGGATTTTTAAGTGTATCGAGTTGATGGTCTCACTCGGTCACCAATGACTGAATATTATCGTCAGAGTACACTTGGTTTTCCACTTAAGACTGAACAAATGTCTGTTTGATTCAGTCAACAAATACTCTTTGCAGGGTATATGAAAGGTGTGGCCATCGTGTGGATTAGGGGGCATTCTGAAGTAGTTCTGTGAGAACATTTTCTCGAGTTCTTCTCCGACACAGGGTGACGGTACGCTGCTGGCTCTGCAGAGTTCTGAATGGAAATTTTCTCATCTCATTACAAAATGGCAAAAGTACGATTCGACTCGAACTTGGAGAAAAAGTAAATACTTTAACGAGGGAGAACTGAAATTTTAATCGATGAACCGATTGCATTGCTGCATGCGTATGTCCCCCTTGCCAGCAGACGAAGGGGCCTCGCCCGTCTCTCTTCTCACCGTGTTGCACAAGCGTCGAGTGCGCCCTTACACCATGCCCCGACGCTTTGAGTCGAGGCTCTGATTGGTGTCCTTCATTGAGAACAGAGTTTTAGTTGGTGCATTAACAGCATTCCATTACAAGCCATTTTTCTCATAATTGCCATATCTGCAATGTTGTTCTGAGAAATAGCTGTGTGTGCCGTGGGCAAATGGTTTGTCGTAAAATTCACCGTGACATTCCCATTTTAAAAAAAAAGCCACATTTCCTTGCCATTGAGGTGTTTTTTTTTATATTCTACTTCCCTCAATATCATGGTAAGCAATTTATTACGTCTCAAAATTCTACCAATTATTGCCTCATTAACAACACGAACTGCAATTACTGGCAATGTAAGTGGCTTAATTTTCGAAGGAAAAGTTGGGGGCGGGGGGGGGGAATGTGGGGGAGCGGAAAGAGGCAGGCTAAAAATGAGAAAAGGTCATCAGAATTCTGCCTTGGCAGTCACGAAAAACCCAAAGGCTTGGAAAACCGGGGCCACTATTTCTCGGTTGTTAATTTGAGCCCAGCGTAGAAACTGGACACCTGAGCAGTTCCTATATATATAAAAAAAAAGAATCAAATAAGGCTTGGTGACAGATTGTCCATCTTGGCTTGTGCCTCGGTGGCTCGTGAAACTGCACGTAAAAAAAGTGTGGCGGTGACATGGTGTGTGTAATTGGTGAGAGCGTGCGTAATTTACTACGGCTCAAAAAAATAAAATGAAATAAAACAAGGAAAAAGCCACCCACATACTCTCGAAAAATTGGCTCTGGTTTTTTTTTTATGCACCAAACCTGCCTGTTGGTGTGTGGCTTGGTAATTGACAGGTCTACAGCAGGATTTCAGGCGGTCACTTCACCTGTAATCCTCTTCAGATATTTTTAAGAGGAACAAAAAAATTACCAGCAAGGTTCTAACTTCGAAAATTATTATTGCGCTTTCATTACGAAAAATTTAGTGAAATTACTTGTGTTTTTCGATAAGACTTCGGTCGACAGACGGGTAAGGAGAAGCTTAGCGTGTTTTTTTTCTGTCGTGTTCCAATGTGATCTTAACATGCTTACGTATGGATTTATTTTGTTTACATCTTTGGCGCCTTGTTGCCCTTGGTTTAGAATTTTTAATAGGATTCCCCTCTGCTGGGTTCACTGAGGCTGAGAAGAAGCCACACAATTTCAAATTTCCTTTCCTCAATTCGAGAAGAATAATAACTCTGATCTGCTTCATTTTGCGCCTTTGGACCAGTGCTCAGCCAACTGTGTGATTTAAAACAAAATCCCGTGCATTCCATGTAAGGCGCCAGGTTAAGGCACCCACTCAAGACACATCATCTACAGCTGTCTGTGTGGAACCAAATTGAATATTAATACACTAAAGGCGCGGGACAGTAATGGTCATTGTGATTTACAAAAGTGTCAACGCAAATATGACATAAATTGGAATGCGGCTGACGTCGGCAACTCTGGCAGTCCTTAAATTTCGTGATGTGATTATCTTGCAGATGACGATCGTGAGGACGGTAATGATTCATGGCTATCAAGGGCGTGAATATTGTCAGTGACTGGTGATGCCTATCATGATTAATAATTGATAGGTTTATTCAGTTTCCATCATGTCAGAATATTCATACACTAAATAAGCTCATATGAATATTGATGGCGAATTATACGCTTTCGAAAATCCCAAAAGATATAACAGGTGGTAATTATTATTATTATTCATTCAAGTTGACATATGCAAAAGCTTGTAGGTACAAGCATTAATGCCGGCCAAGTTACTGACATCTATTACCGTACACGCGCCCCACACTGGCCTAAATCATGCGCCGTAAATGAGACTGTCGCTGAGCCGCGATCTCATTACAAGCCACAAAGGGGGCCTGGAAAAAAAGTCCCTTCGTGTAACGGCCTCGCTCACACAAGGGGAGGGGAGTGGTGGTGGTGGTGGCGGGGTGGGGGGAGGAACTCGCCACCGACTTCTCTTTCCAATTACGCGCCCCTTGTCCGGCCGGCCCCTTACCCAGGCTGCAGGGCTCCTCCGAGCCCCCCTGGTGACCGTGGCGTCACCTCATGACAGCGCAGCCGATGGCCACCGGAGAATGGCCGTTTGTGAGAGGTTGGATTTTAATGGTTCGTCCGAGCGTCAATATTAGCACATTTATGATATTTGCGACAATCAACTTTATTCACTTGGATTTTTTTTTTTATGCAGGCGCTTCGGGCTTGAAATGCTGATTCTGCACAATGAAGCAGATTGGATTTGATGGTTTTATGTTACTGCTACTGGATTTCAGAAAGTAAAAAAAAAGACAATACATGACTTTGCAGGTCATTAGGGCGAGAGGGAATGGCCTCATTGACGAGAGAGCCCCTTATGGTGTCTTATGGTCGTGGGCTCCGAATCCATCACACACACACGAAATAAAACGAGATCCCAGATGTCTCATCACTGAAAAGCAACCTCATGGTTTGAATTTGGGTTTTAGGAAGCCTGCAATGGAACAAATGTGCTGTTTTCAATTTTTCTGCACCTGCCAATGTTTACAATGCTTGTCACATTAAAATAGATATTTGACAACAACAAAAAAAATTTCCATTCTATGTAGAGTTAAGCATATTCACATGGCTTATATAACCACATTTCTCAGTTGGGTCAAAAGGCCCTTTAATATACATGGACGAGCTACCTCAACATTATAAACGGCAACAACATGAACTGACTGGTACCCTAGCGGCCACTCACTAATGCTCCAGAAACGTTGTCAAGGGAGCACAAAAGAGGGCTTTAATGTTCTATCAGCGGTGCTTTTTCCCTGCTGTGGTCAGGATACAGACCCATATCTAAGCTCCGTCTAGGCTCATGACATGCATCATATCTGGCTTCGTAATGTCCCCACATTCGCATCCAGTAGATTTCTGATTTTTACAACAGAATAATAAATAATAATGAGGGCTTCATTTCAGCCAGGTCTGTCCAGATCAGCAAGCCAAAAAAATGATATAACTGCACATGGCAAGCAACATCCGGTATATTTTCTCATTATGCCTTTGGCTAACAGCACCGACTGCGGCCGACCAACTACCCGAAAAATATTGAAGCCCTGGCTTTGCGCACTCCTTGACAAGGTTGGGAGAATCTGGGCTCGTGCAGCAGCGTGCACTAATGGCTGGTAATTGAGGGCGGCGCACGCACACAAACACGCGTGCCAAACAGCTGGCACGCCGCTTGGCTCTCTTCAGTGCGATCATCGCGGAACGAGTCCCGCAGGAAACGTGTCATTTAGCCGCCCGTTCCGACGGGGCAATAAAAACGCGGCACTAAGTCGAGGTAGCTAATTGTTAGGGTGCTTCTTTATGGCTTCGGAGAGCACAACTCCGTCCACGAGTGAAGGGGGGGGGGGGGCGTGCGGGCCCACTTTGCCATCGCAGTATTTCAGCGCGAACGACTCTATTAGCATCGAATAACTGGGCGGTGGGCGGGGGGGGGGGGTCCTCGTGGCCGTAAATAAGATCGTGCCGTTGGCACCGTCTCACGGGTTAGGGGGTGTTGCTAGGAATGCGCGCGCGCTTTAATAGCCACGCACACGTGCATTTAAAGTGCGAGAGGATTACGATAATTGCCGGCGTTTATCGTTTATAAGTTGCGACCGCCCTGTGCCCGGAATGCAACTATAGTGGTAGCCCGAGTGGTGAAATACATGTCTTATTTAGCAATGCAATAGGAATTGTAAAATAATTACCATGTTTTGAGATTAGTACAAAAATAAATGTTTATGTTGT